TAATCCCAAATTTCCAAATCCCCAAATCCCAAAATCCAAGATTCCTAATTTTCATATCCTTAACATGTCCACATACCTAAATTTCCGACTCAAAAAAGGAATGTCAAAGACTACAAATTTGTTTGAGATACAACACTGGTAAGTAGCATAGCAGTAATAGAATCGAGCGTATAATTGAAAGCAAATATTTTGTTCCACAAACAAATAGTAGATCTGTTTGGTCGCTTAAGATAATTAGAAGGATGTATGATTGTTCAAGGTGCACTTTGCACGCCTTTTGTGAATATTTATATGGACGTGTAAGTAAACTTTGGAGACGTTCAATTTAAAAACGATTCTAATTTCATATTTTCTTAACTGTTACACAACCACTCGCCAGAATTATTTGAGTAATAAAGAACAGTTGTTTAAATAATATACATTGATATTATTAATAACAATATTTTATACAATATTGATAGCAATGATATTATGTGTATTGTAACACAATCACAATATTATTATTTAATTATAATATTTTGTTAATCAATCTTAATTTACTTTAATATGAAAATAATTATTATTTCATTATTTTGATATTGAATAAAGGCAGTTGTTATTCTGTATTTTATAGAATGATACATCCAACGAAAATGTAAATCTTGAGAATGTTAAATTATACATACATGAAATATATACAAGTTATTATTTGTATACAGTAATCAATTAAAAGATAGTAATCTAATACAACATTGCATTCAATTAAATTTCTAATTTAAGAATCGTTTTCCACTAATTGGCATCGTTTACTCTGAGAATAGTTTTGAGAACGACAAATGGGTTAACTAAACTCTACTGGTTACTTTTGCACGCCGTTTTCTGAAAATTACGAAACACAATGTGGTGACAACATTTCAAACTTGACAGCAGAAATAGCCCACATTAACACTACTGAAAAGTAGAACAGGTAGATTGCTAGTCAGACCGACAGTCATATCTATAATAAATTCTAATTTTAGGAGGTAGCTTGTACGCGGAAAATGTATTTGATTAATTATAATTAGGAAAGTTGCGTATGTTGGGAAATGAACGATTCTTAATATTTTATGTTTCTATAGTTACAAATTTCTGAATTTGTACATTTCTATATTATCATTTTTAGATTTTTAGGTTTCTATACATATTTCGAAATTTTTATATTTTTATATTTGCAAGGTTCTAAGTTTTCTATATTTACAAATTGACAAGTTTTTTCATTCTCAGATACTCAAATTTTCAAATTCTCAGATTTCTAAATTCTAAAATTTCTAAATTTTACTCCTCGCAAGATTCCCAAATTTCTAAATCCCTGGTTCCCCAAATTCCCAAATTCTCAAATGTCCAAATTCCCCAATTTTTAACTTCCACCCTCTGAATTTCCCAAACTCCTAAACTCCCCATTACCCAAATTTCCTAATTTCTAAATTTCTCCCTCTCAAACCTCCCCAATTCCTAAACTTCCCACTCCCCAAATTCCCAAATTTCTAAACTCCCTACTCTCAAAATTACCAAATCCTCAAATCACCCACTCCCAAACTCTCAAATGTCCAAATTCCCAAAGTCCCCAATTTCTAACTTTCCTCCTCTCAAACCTCCCCAATTCCTAAACTCCCACTCCCCAAATTCCCAAATTTCTAAACTCCCTACTCTCAAAATTCCCAAATCCTCAAATCACCTACTCCTAAATTTCCAAATTCCTAAATTCCCAAACTCTCAAATGTCCAAATTCCCAAAGTCCCCAATTTCTAACTTTCCTCCTCTCAAACCTCCCCAATCCTAAACTTCCCACTCCCCAAATTCTCCAATTTTCAACTTTCCCCCTCTAAACCTCAAAAATTCCTAAACTCCCACTCCCAAATCCCCAAACCATCCATTCCCAGTTCCCAAATTCCTAAATTCCCAAATTCTCAATCACCAACATCGTCACAATCATATTTATGGCAAATGAATCAAGCTCTCCTCCGATTTTCTTCATGCACTGCATCAGAAGAAAAACGTTGACGAGCGTGAAACATTAAGCGAAGAAATTTGTCTCGCGTTTGTCTTCGGTACATGTATTCAGGTAATAAACGACGCCGAGAAAAGTTTAAATAACGCTTTATCCGCGATTAAAGAAACCAGGGTACGAGAGAAAGAGATGAGAAGAGATAAGGAGAGATATCGCGCACCTGTACTGCGCCATATAGGGATAACGAGCATCGAAGGTGTATGTCGATAAATCGCGAAAGACCTAACCGGTAGACTATGTGAAATCGACCGATTTCCGTTACTTTTACGACCCTGCAAGATTATAAAATAATAGAAAATAGATTTTATAACAACATAAACTTCGTTATTAAACGATTTTTAGTGCAACTATCAAACCGGTCATATAGGCGATTTACTCTTCATTTGAGGTTAAGATGCTTTTCTTCAACTTTCTGTTGATTTTATTCGAGATGAATTAATGGATGTTTTATTTTATACAGAATCACCCCACTTACCATCCTTTTTCGGCTCTTGTAGTTATTGCGGAACACCCTGTATTTTATCGTCTATTTATTTTTGTTTGATTTGAAAATAAATGTTAATGGAGGATGAGTTGATCGTTCAGTTGTTATATATATATAAAATGGCGGACAAAGAGTTTGAAATAGAAAGTCAAACATTGTTGATTGTGTATCAATCTGAATTTTAAGGCCCTATGAAAAGACTATTGAATCGAAATAAAAGTCAGAGGAAGATGATCATTCAGTTATTCTTATGTTGCTGTATACAACATGGCGGAAACAGAAATAGAATTTGAAAGAGAAAATCGAAAGTCATTGATTGAACATCAATTTGAATTTTAAAGTCTCATGAAAATGCTATTGAAACGTTTACTGTGTTTCTAAAAGAAAACTGTTTTGAAAGAAGTATCGGAAGATGAGTTATTGTTACACATAAAATGGCGGAGACAAAAATAGAATTTGAAACAGAAAGTCATTGATTGTATATCAATTTGAATTTTAAAGTACCATCAAATCGTTTACTATGTTTTTAAAGAAGAATGATTTCAAAATGGTTGTCATATAGCAATGGACGTTCTCAGAACGTATAAATTCAAATTTAATTTGATGACATAAAAGTATCACAAAATAGCACATATGATATATCAAATTAAAGGTTAAAGTTTGCTTAATATGCTTATGTAAATGCACCTTTAAAATTTTCAATATAAAATGATTTTCACTTATATCGCATAATCTTATACTTCATGAAACGAGACTCGACAGATTCGAAGCAAAAGTTTAAGAAAATTTCAATGCAGAAAAGCATGGAATGTCATTCACAATACCTTAAACTTTTTAATCTCCCTAAGCTTCTAAAAAATGATTACTTAATATCCTTAATACAAAATTCATGAAATAAGCAACCGAAGTTAATCATTCGAATAATCCTCAAACACAAGAGGTGCTATCTCATCTCTCACTGATAACAAAAAAGCACTACAATGCAAACTATAAAATGCGATCGATCACACAGCAAAAGAAGAGTAATCATAGATTATGACATCATCAGAAAAATCATACATCCATATGCAAAGCCAGGCTGGTTTCAAACGACTTTTTTAACGACACCCGTTCGTGTATAATTTAGCTTACCAGATGTTCGCTCGATGGAAAGTCGATTTAAGTTCGATTATTTATTTACATAAATCATTTTGGATTATTTTAAACTTAGATTTCTGCAATCTTGGTTGTCAAAATTTCTATTGATCTCTTCGTCATCGAATAAAAGTATCAGTTTCGCAATTCATTTGTTAATGATATGTGTAAATGTTGAATCATCGATGACTGAAGCACAAATTCACTGGAAGAAAATGATACTACGGAAGGAAACTAAGTAGTATTATTATTATAATTACAATGGAAGTTTTTATGGAAAAATTCAATGTTTCTTTGGGGAATCAGGCGTTCATTATAATCTGTTCAAATGACTGTAATAGAATAAAGGAAACTATAATTTAAAACTAAACAGTTGCATGGTCGATTGAACAAAATACATTAAATTGAAATTCCACAAAATAAATTGAATTCTACTCACTCTATTCTTTGCATAAAATTAGCTATTCTTCGCATTGAAATCTCAACAAAATCTAGCAATAAAATAACATATGAAACCTAAAACTCTATGACACAATTAAATAAATTAATTTGAAAGTGTAATTAGTTTGATAGTAAGGGGTTGAATGTACGTTGTCAAGTTGACTTCAATAAGAAATTACGCGAAATAAAATACAGCATCAAATCAATACAATTATTCAATCAGAAAGGATACTGACGATAGTTCATGGTGGAAGAAAACAAGTCGTCAGAAGGACACGGCTATATATAATACTGCGTACTTATATGGGCGATACACGACGTGGAAATTGCGCTGGATGAAGAATTACCGCGTCGTCTTTCGCTCGCAGCGAAGATGATCTCACGCGAATTAAATCCATCGTTGAGTCGGTCGAATCGTTTTTTCGCGTGCTTTCAACCTAAATTTATTTACCATCTGTCATAAACAATTTCGCAATTGATAATTGTGTAAAAATAAAAAGGTTGTAAATACCACTTGCATTGCTTCACATTTATGGAAAGACAGACGATTAGTATAAATATGGATGAAAATTACAATTTTGTTGTATAATAGACAAATTTTTATTTATTTTGTTAAAGAATTTATGAATAATTTTTGGTGAAGAAGGTTTTTCTTGGCAAGGTTCAAGAAATTGATTTTGATATTTCAATTTTTGCATCTTGTCAAATATGAATGAACACAAATTTCTGAATAGTGTTGTAACAATTTTTGTATTTGATCTAACACTTCCTTAATTAATTTCGACATATGTGCATCAGGAGAGTAAATCTTTCAAGTCCGGAGATTAATACTAAAACTAAACCTAACCTAAATGTAACATAACCTAAGACTAAACTAAACCTAACCTAATCTAAATCTAACTTAACTTAAACCTAACCTAAACTAAACCAATTAAATCACCATTCCACAAATTTCTTATTATCACACAATTTGTCGAAGTGTTTCCATTAAAATCTGCATTGACTTTCATCAAGATAAAAGATTAACGCGTGTGCTCATTTTTAATTTGAAAAGTACACACACGGTTTAGCACATAACATACGGTTTAATTCTCGTAACAGTTTAATAGAAGCTCCTCCCAAAACGACCTAAATCCACAAAAGACATAAAATGCAAAAGCGTGGGTGACGATTAGCTTCTCCAGCGACGATGATTAAGTAATTTGAAACGATCGGGATCGTCCGCCCTATTCGTCGAGGATATGACGATCTGCATGCATAATGCAACCTGGATGCGTCGCTCGTTAACCTAACGTTTCGTTTCTCCGATGTACATAATTCGTAGTTACGTGTATGTACATATGTACGTATGCGTGTCCTCGATCTAAATCTGCGACGCGAATCGAGGGAACTGCTAAACGATCGACCGGCTTCATTTTCAAAGTGGTTAATGAACGATGGATCAGAAATCAAACCGTTAGTATGGAGCTTTAATATAATGGGAGTATTTAGTATCAGACCATTGGTTTTGATAGTGGAAGATTTCTTTTGTTAATGCAAGGACTGTGATTCTTGACAAAGATATGTAAGGTTATGCGTGTAGGGTCATTAGGGAGATGTTGCGTTGTCATGGTTATTATGCTATCTTTATGATCTCTAATTATTTTCTGTGTCTTCTACTGTCTTTGGTGATGGATTGTTTTAGTTTTATAGTTTCGTTGTTTTGTATCTTGTTTGAGAAATTTAGGAATTTTCAAGGTTATTTCAAGGTAATTCCAAATTTTCAAGTTCCCAAATTCTCAAATACCCAAATTCTCAAATCTCCAAATTCTCAAATCTTCGAATTCTCAAATCCCCAAATTCCCAACTTTCCGAATTCTCAAATCTCCAAATTCCCATCTTTCCAAATTCCCATCTTCTCAAATTCCCATCTTCCCAAATTCCCACCTTCCCAAATTCTCAAATCTCCAAATTCTCATCTTCCCAAATTCCTACCTTCCCAAATTCTCAAATCCCCAAATTCCCAACTTTCCAAATTCTCAAATCTCCAAATTCCCATCTTCTGAAATTCCCATCTTCCCAAATTCCCACCTTCCCAAATTTCCCATCTTCCTAAATCCCTAAATTCCCAAATTCCCAAATTCCCATCTTCCTAAATCCCTAAATTCCCAAATTCCCAAATTCCCATCTTCCTAAATCCCTAAATTCCCAAATTCCCAAATTCCCATCTTCCTAAATCCCTAAATTCCCAAATTCCCAAATTCCCATCTTCCTAAATCCCTAAATTCCCAAATTCCCAAATTCCCATCTTCCTAAATCCCTAAATTCCCAAATTCCCATCTTCCCAAATTCCTATATACACAAATTCCCATCTTCTCAAGTTCCTATCTTCCCAAATCCCCATATTCCAAAATTTCCATCCTCCCAAATTCCTAAATACACAAATTCCCATCTTCTCAATTTCTCATCTTTCCAAATCCCTAAATTCCCAAATTCCCAAATTCCCATCTTCCCAAATTCTCAAATCCCCAAATTCCCATCTTCCCAAATTCCCATCTTCCCAAATTCCCATCTTTCCAAATTCCCATCTTCCCAAATTCCCATCTTCTCAAATTCCCATCTTCCCAAATTCCCACCTCCCCAAATTCCCACCTCCCCAAATTCCCACCTCCCCAAGTTCCAAAATTCCTAAAATACCCAATTTCCCAAATTCACAACTTCCATAATCTCCACAATTCCCTACCACTTCACCTCAAACCTCAAACAGACCAAAATAACTTTTACCACAACAAAAAGTATTAGTAAAACACACTTCACAAAAACTTCAAACAACCTCTAAAATTCGCACCTGATCTTCATCCACTTACCTCAAAACCCCGATCAACGCTAAAAAACTTCATAAAACCTCGATAAAAACTTCACAATCTCCACGATCGTAAAATTTTCAATTTTCCGCCGAACAAAAAGTTCTACCCTTCGTAACTGTTCAACCAGTGAAGCGTGACTCAAGGACTCGCTTCTCGAACGGTACTCGAGAAAAAATAATAAAAAAAAAAAAAAAAAAAAAAAAAAAAATATACTGATCGAATTGAGTAACCTCCTCCTTTTTCGAAGTCGGTTAAAAATAGTGAACGTCTCGGTTATGGTAGAAACGTGCGTCTATTACAAACATAGTGTGCCATTTCTTTTATCAGATCGAAACTACATTACATAGTACGTGTATACGCGCGCTAATCAGAGATGTTTAAATCTTTACATGGTTCTACGAACGACTCGTTTGGTAGATGTCGAACTTGAAAGAGGCTCTGGGGCTCAGAGAACTTACCGATAAGGAATCCGGCATTTATCGAGCTCTGGTAGCGGAATTCTTTGGTACGATGCTGTTGAACTTCTTTGGCTGCGGATCGGTCGTCACAGAGAACGTTCTGACCATAAGCTTGGCCTTTGGTTTGACGGTTGCCGCCGCTGTTCAAGGAATAGGACATCTCTCCGGCGGCCATATTAATCCCGCTGTTACCTTCGGTTTAATGGTAATTGGCAAGGTAAGAGAAACTGCGAAGTATCGTATTATATACATCTAACAAAATTTTTCTTTGTAATAATTAATAAATAATTAGAAAATAATTTGATTTCGGTTCACCTTCTTAACGTGAGATTTGAACCGAATTCATTCAGATATTCAAGAATTCAGGTATTCATTTTTATTTCTGAAGGTTTAAGTCAGGAGAGCCTATGTATGTTTATAAATATTTATTTTAGTGTGATGATAATTATTTGAGGTTATTATTTTTTAGTATTAATCACTGTTGTTTTTAAGTCACCCTGTGTTTATGTTACATGTGTATCATACATACATATTAACAATGAATTTCATTAAAAATATTTTTTGAAGTTACTATGTTTCTACCAATAATCACCATTGTCTTCAAGTCTCATTATGTGCCTCACATAATATACAAACTATGTTTATACTATAAATTGAAAATTTATTCAAGTCTATTATAAGTTTGAAGTCTATTCAAACTTATTGAAGTCTATTCAAACTTATTGCATTAATATTGGATTAATGTTACATGACATAGTTAATGTTAGTTCAAGCACCAAGGCTCCTCTTAATATATTTTGACTAAGTGACCTTCATTTGTAAGTTCTTTACAAAATATAATTTATTGAAAGATTTTCTTAATTTTACAGGTGCCAATAGTGAGGGGGTTGTTGTACGTGGTAGCTCAATGCATCGGAGCAATAGCAGGCTCGGGTGTGTTAAGAGCATTATCCCCCGAAAGAATGGAAAGTTTACTAGGGGTTGTGTCTCTTTCCATCGATGTTACACCTGTTCAAGGATTTGGTATAGAATTTTTCTTAGCCCTAATACTGGTCTTCGTCGTTTGCGGAGCCTGCGACTCGGCTAAAAATTACAGCAAAGGAATTGCTCCGCTTGTAATCGGACTTACTGTTTCGGTTGGACATATCGTTGGTGTAAGACACGTTTTTCATACTTCTTTACTTTTCTTAGCATCTTGCGTTCGTACTTTTTATGATAAAAATTTACAAATATAGATTTCAAGATTTACAGGTTTACATTTCAAGATTTATAGATTTATTTAGAAATTTGCAAGTTTGCATGTATGTTTCTATGTCTTCTAATTCTGACACACTTAATTCTGTCCACTCAACAAGATTAATTCTGTCAATCAATTATATTACAAATTCTTCAAAGAAAGTGCTTCAGAAACTTTCTAATTGCAAATCTTTCTATAAAGGAAAAACTATGCAAAATTGAATACCTCATAAAAGAATAAAATTAATAAAGTTAATAAAGTTAATAGTAAAGTACAGAATTTCAACTCTGTCAATCACATTACAATTTCCTCAAAGAAAGAGTTCCAAAAACTTTTTAATTACAAATCTTGTAAAAAAGAAATGCACAAAATACCTGCATAAAATAATAAGCTAATAGAAATAGCAAAGTATATAGTTGTACAAAGATGTGTAGACAAGTTAGAAACTTTCCAAAAAGAAATGAAAAGTGGTAAAATAAAAATTGGCGTTCAAATAGGTGCCAAGAACAGGAGCAGGAATGAATCCAGCTCGATCATTGGGCAGCGCAGCGGTGATGAACATGTTCGATGACCACTGGTTGTACTGGGTGGGTCCAATTCTCGGCGGAATGGCAGGAGCTCTGATTTACGTGTTCGTAGTCGGTCCTGCGAAGGAAGAGGAACTTCCTCGAAGAGTTTACGCTACTGTTGCGACAGCCGAAAAAGGGGAACGGTAAACAAGAAGCTGCTAATAATATGAATGCAGTTATCGAGACGGTTTTCGTTTGCTTTCCGCTGACATCCAAAACCGATTCAACGAAGAAATATTTCATAAAGCATCGCGAACAAAATATGTGGTTAACTTTATGCGCTTTGAAGATACTTGGCTCTGAAACGAATGTCAACTTTTAGATAGAACATGTTACATTTTGTTATGATATGAGCAACTTTTTATAATAGGATTTTACAGTAGGATTATGATAGATATTTGAGAAAATGGGGGTTGATTTTAAACCTCGTATTAATGTGAGCGATGTAACACTTTCTTTGCCTCGTATGAAACAGGATTACCTGAGCGTAATGCTTATGTTATTAAAATATTAACTAGTTGTTAAGCTGCATTTGTGTTATAATTAAGAAGTAATTCTAGGTCTGTAACTTGTAGAATTAAGAATTGTGAAAGACTTATATGATATGAATAAGATATTTTCTGTGTAGTGCTTTTTTGATTTGTTAGTTAGGAACGTAGAGGTAGATGCTTTGATTAATATTTATTTTAAATATGTGCATCGATTGAGGTGGAGACGTGGATTTATATTACAGAAATTATTAACTGATAAAAATAATTTGTATTGACATTTAGGATTTCAACTCGAAGGTTCAGAGGTTAATTTCACCCTGAGCTAAGATTTTTCTTTCGTGAGAGCTGAAACACTTTGCAGATAAAGTGATAACATATCAGCACTGTCTTACTCGAATAATACTCTTCTGGGTATAAAACTAAAAATTGGTTCCAAAATCTCGGACCAATATGTTGCTTGCAAACGCATATTAAATTTGAAGACAAATAATTAAAAAAAGAAATTATTTAAGCTACTATGTATTAAGATTACACTTTCTTTGTATTGCATTACATTTTCTTATCATTGTATCATTTTTTAGTAACAATTTTTTTTATTATGCTGAAAAATTGCCTCTACTCATTTGATATCCTGCTATTTTTATAATATGGTACCATATACCTTGTTTTTTTATTAATTATACATTATAATGTAATTGTAATATTAATATTACATTAATATCATGTAATTATCCCCATATCTATATTCATAATAAAATGTATATTTCAGTGTTTGCTAAATTCTACTGTATGAAATAAAACATGTTTTTTATAAAATTACAGGTGTACAAAATTTTTTCGAGTCCCCAAAAAATGTTCTTACTAATGTTTCCTTTATAAACTAATAATGGCTTGGTTATTGATAATAGTAACGTCAAAACATTCCAAAATTAATTAGTCTTGCACTCCGACGTAATTCAATGCATATTTAGGTAAATTACACCAATAAAATCAATGTTAATTAAATTTAAAAAAAAACCTTAGAAATATTATGAACTGAAAAAGTCATTGTAAAGAAATTTCGAAATAAAAATTCTGCTAATATTCTCTGTCAATTGTCACAATAATCTCTATAATAATTTACAGTGATCTTGAAGTTATATAATTATGAAATATATCTTCCATGACGCCTCGTTTAAAGACTCCTTCACCTTTGATCAATAATATCACGCTTCAGGAAGCATAATCCTTTTACAAAGTGCTCACAAATGATACCTAACACTGAAAAATGTCGCCAATTAAGATCAAGGATAAATTCTACCAAAATAATGTTATCACAAGAAAGTCACCTTAACTTTTAGTAGAAAAGGTGTAACTTCTGGAAGAACTTCGGTAACTTATCTTCTCGGAGTCTACTGTTAAACAAGTTTAGAGAATAATGCGTCATGTTGGGAGTTCGACCATTTACAACTTGTTTAAAGTGTATGAAACAGTCAGTTGCATGTGAAATTGTGTGAACGAAGGTGATCAAGCTTACTTCGTCTTTGACAAAGCTTGTAACTGGAGTTGGTTGAGGAAAATTTGTGGACTGTGAAAAATATTATAAGCCGGGTTTTTTGTTACGTGTATTCATTTGAAAATTGGTGCGGGTTAATTAATTGGAGAAATTAAATTATTACTGACAATGACTGCAACTTATTATTACAAACTTTGTTTTCTTTTTTTTTTTTTAACTTATTAGGTCCATAACGGACACATCAGTCACCATACAGTGACAAAAACTCCACTCCTCTAACTACAAATACGATACAAGTACCACAATTTGAAAAAATTTTGTTGAAAACCTGTTAATTTTCCCAATAGCATCTAGCGGTAGAAAGTTGGAACTTTGCAAAGGAAACTTAGAAAATAATTTTTGCATTTCTTGACTGTCACAACGTATACAGTACTTGTGAAACACTCTAATGTTAACTAATGACACATTTTGGAATATATTATTGTTTATCAAAGTGGGAAATTCAATGAACCATGAATCAATACGAAAAAGGTTCAGCTCGCGTCATTTAGCGGAGAATGGTACTATTACAAACAAATGTGTCAGAATTTGGATAAAAATTTGGGAAAAATTTTAAAACCGTCATGTTCCGTTATCGACCAAATTTTGCAAATAAGCTTTTTCTTGAAAAAGAAGATATCTGTGAAAATTTTGAACGAGGCACGGGATAATGTGTCAACTGTTCTGAATACATAATCTGCATGTTTGGACCCACAGAATATATTGCAAACAGTCTAAAATCAATATGGATAAATATATAATAAATATGTAGCGTATTAATCGATAAAATCAATAATTGAATTTTTACGAAAATGGAACTAGTGGCGCCATCTCTCCGGCGAACAGGGTGAACTACACGCTTTTGAAACACCAAGTTCATTAGTTCCTATTTCTACCACTAGATGGCGTAAAGCAACACGTGGCGCCGTCTAGTGGCAGGCAATGGTACTAATGAAACAGCAGTTTAAAAAGTGTGTAGTTCACCCTATTCGCCGGAGAGATGGCGCCACTTGTTCGATTTTTTTTTTAATTCAAATAATATCGATTTTATTGAATAATATACTGTATATTTATTATACATTTATTACTATTGATTTTATACTGTTTATAATATATTTATTTCAAATATAGAACGACAATATTTGAATAATATAGATGGTACATGTCGGGCCATCTAACAATGGATCTCCCAAACTTTTCAAACTAATTTCAAGCACTTCCTAAATCATCAGGATCAAATCTTCCAATTCAGAAATTTCGGTGAATTCATAAATTCAAAAGTTACAAAATTTCAATCTCCAAATCTTTAAATTGTGAGCCACCGTAATTCTTCAGAAACCATAACTTTCTATTTTGTTAATTATACTTTCCACCATTAGATGTTATTAACGCTTCTATTTTCAGTCCCACAACGATTTAAAATATCAAAACTTCAAACTCCATTAGCAGCACACATTCAATTTCATTACCACAAACTAATATAACATACAAATAAACAACTCCTAAAACCAAACAAACTACAGCCATTTCATCAGCATCAAATATCAACACCATAAATGCTCAAATATTTCAAACACTCTCTCAAACTCCATGAAATGACTATCGCATCATTTTATTGTTAAAAAGAGCTACTTGACATTTGCATAAAAATCCTCCCAAATCTTCCTTACCATCACACAGTACCTAGTAATTTCCCTCAAAATAGTCCTCCGTATCTAGTGATTTCTCGCGTCGCGTTGTCAGCCATGCTCAACTAGCTTGTATATTTTGTGGAGGTTACTACGTGGTTCCTGTTAGTACATGTTTTGATACCTTAATGCCATTGACGTGTGTTATTTCAGCAAAATATGTGGTGTGTATAACCTAAAAAAACGGTGTTCGCTTAGACCTTAAAGAAGAAGTCTATTCAGGGTTAACTGTCGACGTGTAAAATGGCGTGGTTCGGTGACGGATTGCCTAGCTTGTCGAATTTAAAGGGACAGCTGACAAGTTTCACCAAGGAAGTATTATCAGACGGAATAGTAGAAGAAATAGGTGTGTACGATTTTCTTTAAATCATTTAATCACCGGGAATCGTTGTTTAACCTCGCGTTGTATAGGTTACTGACGACTGTCAATATAAGGGTCTGTTTTACCAACCGCGCGGGGAACATTTGGCGGGAAATTCAAATAGCGTTGGCGCGTTTTTCATTCAATTTGTAAATGTATTCAATCTTTTTCACAGACGAACGATCGAAAGCGTTGAAAGAAGCGAATCAAAAGTGCGTCGAATTGCAAGAAATACTGAATTCGAAGGATGCTGAAGTAAGTATACTTCCATTACTATTTTGTGTTTTTGTTAGAATTTTTTTTATATTTTATGTATCAAGTTTGTTGGAGTTTTTAAATATGTCGATTAATCGTATCGACGTTTTACTGTAAATTCCCTACGCAGATGTCGACTACGATAAGGACTAAGTTAATGTACGACAGTCGGAAATTATTTTAACAGATGCTGCTTTCCATAATAAACGGGATTGAGTGTAATGCAAACACGTTTACCTTATCTCCTATAACACCAACCCCGAATCCTTTCAACCCTCGGCAAGGGGCGATAGAAGGCTGCCTCTTATTGCTCCGACTATCGATCATACGTTATACACGATAATTCTGTACCGGTGATGGGCAGATTAAGGGCCCATCGAACGGCTTATGGGCAACCGACACGTATTGAATCCTTATTCCTCAAACTTCAAATGTTCTATTTTAGAAATTTGAAATTTTAATCAATTGATTGAAAAATTTCAAAATTTACTCCTCGATTTCATTTATATATTTATTGTTCTTTCAAGCTTTAAATTTTTAATTCACAAATTTAGATGTGACTAATGTACAAATTTACAAAGTTACAAATATCGAGTATGCAAATTTACAAATTTACAAAGTTACAAATGTCGAATATGCAAATTTACAAATTTAGAAATATCGAACGTACAAATTTACAAATGTAGAAGTGTTGAATGTGAAAATTTAGAATGTGAGAATTTACAAATTTTCTGACCACGAAATTTGCAAACTGAAATATTTCAAATCTACAATGTTAAGAATTGCAAAAATTAGAACTCTAAAAATACAGAAATTTCTTAATTTTCAAGTCACAGATTTGATTGAAAAATTACAAATCTGTGATTCAAAAATAAAAAATTTAAAGATATGGAAACCTTGTGCCTTCAAAATTAAAATTATCAGGATATCAAATAGAAAACTTGACTATCCCTATCACTAGATGCCCTAATGCACATTTAGGGCATCTCCCGGGCAAAATTCTTCTATCGTTATAACCGAAGCATTTGATCGTGCTTCTTTCATAAACGTAACTTGTTTCGACCTTCGAACGCGCAATTGTTCCAACGTTGCAAAAATAGTTCTGCGAGCGGGTCATTAAAGTCTTGCATGGTCACGTCGTTCCGGTTTGTTATCGCGAACAATTTGTGGACGCATAAGAGACCGAAAGCGCGCGCCACATTTGCCCTGGTGTGCTTTTGTGGTAAACCACTCTTCTGTTGTTCCACGAACCGATAGATAGCGATATCAATGCCTTTGGTAGACGTTTAACAATGCTTTTGTCTCACCCTCTAGAAACCCGTATGCCTATAACGTTACGGTGTTAATGCGCAACGATTGACTTTTACCACCCTCCCTTAGGTGTGTGTTTGCACGAAACACGACCGTTCGTAAACTGATCAACGACATTAAGTCGAGAGAGTTTTAAAAAGGGTGGAATTTATAGGACGCTGTTATAAATCACATGGGGGAGAACGGAAATCGGTAATGGCTTTAAGTCATCATCTGTCTGACACAAAATGAATAATACTTCTTAATGTAATTATAACTGAGATATAAAGTAAGATATTTGAAAATTTACGTTTCGTTTATTTAATTAAAATATTTAAATTACCATTTGATGTGATAAATTAGGTATTGAGGAAATTAGGTAGTAGGAAATTAGGTGTTGCGAAATTAGGTATTGGGAAATTTAGGAATTGGGGACTTGGGTATTGGGAATTCAGAAATTGAGAATTTTGGGTTTTGGAAATTTTGGGATTTGGGAATTTTGGAATTTTGGAAGTTTGGAATATTTAATTAAAATATTTAAATTACCATTTGATGTGATAAATTAGGTATTGAGGAAATTAGGTAGTAGGAAATTAGGTGTTGCGAAATTAGGTATTGGGAAATTTAGGAATTGGGGACTTGGGTATTGGGAATTCAGAAATTGAGAATTTTGGGTTTTGGAAATTTTGGGATTTGGGAATTTTGGAATTTTGGAATTTTGGGATTTGGGAATTTTGGGATTTGGGAATTTTGAGATTTGAGAATTTTGGGATTGGGGACTTGGGTATTAGGGAATTTCGGGATTGAGAAATTATGTAACTGGGAATTATGGAATTGGGGAATTTTGGGATTTGAGAATTCAGGGTTTGGGGAATTTAGAAATTGGGAAATTAGGTATTAGGAAATTTAAAAATTGTAAAATTTCCTAATTTATTTTATAAATCTAGAAATTGCTACATTTAAAAATTTATAAATTTGAAAGTGCAAAATTAAAAAATTTAATAAACCTTGACGGGTAAATTTCATTCGCGTTATAATTGAATGCTATTCAGTAAATTAAGTGAATATTCACTGCAGTCCTTGGGAATTATGGAATTGGGAATTATGGAATTGGGGAATTATGGAATTGGAGAATTTTGGGATTGGGGAATTATGGAATTGTGAAATTATGGAATTGGGAATTATGGAATTGGGGAATTATGGAATTGGGGAATTTTGGGATTTGAGAATTCAGGGTTTGGGGAATTTAGAAATTGGGAAATTAGGTATTAGGAAATTTAAAAATTGTAAAATTTCCTAATTTATTTTATAAATCTAGAAATTGCTACATTTAAAAATTTATAAATTTGAAAGTGCAAAATTAAAAAATTTAATAAACCTTGACGGGTAAATTTCATTCGCGTTATAATTGAATGCTATTCAGTAAATTAAGTGAATATTCACTGCAGTCCTTGAACCATAGACAATGAGATGCGTTTTTACTTTCTAGTTTGAAAAAATTTGTCAAGGACAACGTTATCCATGTCATCTTTGTTGTATAAAATTATATCTCACACTAATTGAGCATTCGATACACTTAACTAAATGTATTTTATAAAAGTCAAATCAATCTTCATGTGCGCAGTCGGTACAAAAACGTAACAGATAATGGCGGTTAGGTAATGGCTAAGCAGGTATTAACTGATAAAATTAAAAGTGCTGTAGCTAAATAGATTGTATTTGGTTCAAGTTTATTGCAGTTCTTTTATAATATATTTAAATGCAATTGTAAAGGTTTTTAAAATTAGTATTTATATGTTATGCACTTAAACTGACGTTCATAACAAAACTGAAGTAAATTTGGAAAGTGAAATAAATTTGTTTTTAAATTAATAGGAATGACTTAGCTAAAATAGTTCAATGATATATTTGAAAGTGCTGTAGGTACTAAAGACATAAATAATATTTGCATATTTTGAATATTAAATTTTTAAAATAATAAAATAGAATATTATTTTGAAATAGTAAAACCACATAGAAATTTTTCTACAAAAAAATTAGAAATTCTTTCAAGTCATAAGAAACAGATATTGCACACATCTGGTAAGTTGGTGCACTAGACAAGATTGCTTTCATCTGCCAACCCACCAGACGCGCACAAGTAATTGTATAAAGTGTTACTCAAAAAAATTCAACGTCAAGTATTCGCAAAGTTAAGGAATAAATTTATCTACCCTCGTAGGCGACCATAGTTGTTCAAACTTTCGAGCATCTGTTAATCGCGTTATCAACCTGCTGGAATCGTAATATCGTTTTCCAATATTAACGTTGGATATCTGCGCCATGTTCCTGGAATATAAACCATAGACTATGGCAAACACTTTTGATGGGACGCTACATGGTCAAGATGTCCATCATTTTCTATGCACCCGTTTGCTTTCGAATCGTTAGGAAATTTCCAAATTTAACTTGTTGTGAAATGATGAAATTTGGAAATGTGAATTTGGAAATGTAGGGAGTGGGGATTTGGAGAATGGGGATTTAGTGATTGGAGATTTAGGGATTGGGGATTTAGGGATTGGGGATTTAGGGATTGGGGATTTAGGGATTGGGGATTTAGGGATTGGGGATTTAGGGATTGGGGATTTAGGGATTGGGGATTTAGGGATTGGGGATTTAGGGATTGGGGATTTAGGGATTGGGGATTTAGGGATTGGGGATTTAGGGATTGGGGATTTAGGGATTGGGGATTTAGGGATTGGGGATTTAGGGATTGGGGATTTAGGGATTGGGGATTTAGGGATTGGGGATTTAGGGATTGGGGATTTAGGGATTGGGGATTTAGGGATTGGGAAATTGAAGAGTGGAAATTTAGGGATTGGGAATTTAAGGGTTGGAAATTTAGGAATTGGGGACTTGGGTATTGGGGAATTTTGGGATTGGGGAATTATGGAATTGGGGAATTTTGGGATTTGAGAATATTGGGATTGGGGAATTATGGAATTGGAAAATTATGGAATTGGAAAATTATGGAATAGGGAAAATATGGAATTCGGAAATTAAGTATTGGGAAAGTAGGTATTAGAAATTAAATATTAGAAATTTAGGAATTGAAAAATTTAGAAATTTGATAATTAAGAAATTTGGAAATTTAGAAATTTGTTAATTCAAAAATTTAAAAACTTAGAAATTGGAAATCTAGGGACGTGAGGGCTTAAAAATTTACCAGTTTCGTTTAACAAAGTTCGTAGATCGCCGTTCTCAGAATACGTGATTCTTGGAGCAGCAACGAAAAATCGGTATCTCGTATAAGGTGGGGGAAAAAAAATAAAAAAAGAACGTTGACATGGGGAACGCGGTAATCATGCTACAGACTTAAATATTGGTAACCATAATCAGAAGGAAGTCCGGTGGTACGCTGTGGGCATACGGACCGTACGATGTGCGTTTCTGTTTGCCTTCCTTATCTCAGGTTTGCGCTGCGATAACCGCCCTTCTCCTTTTCCAAACGTTATTTCTACCTATACGACACCGTCCTTTAATATGGACTCTCAAAGCAACCAAACTGAAATCATTTTCAACTTCAACCCGTCGTTCGAAACATTTTTAATAAAAGTTTTCGAGTGTTTCGATGTTTTTCGAAATTTAGGTTCTTCAGATTTTTGTGTCTTAGAATTTTCAGATTTTGGTTCGTAGATTTAGATCCAATTTCTAAATTCTTTAGTTTTCTAATTTCCCGATACCTAATTCCACAATTCCACATTTCCGCAATTCCATAATTCCCCAATTCCATAATTCCCAATTCCATTAATCCCCAATCCCATAATTCCCCAATTCCATAATTCCCCAATCCCAAAATTCCCAAATCCCAAAATTCCCAAATCCCAAAATTCCCAAATCCCAAAATTCCCAAATCCCAAAATTCCCAAATCCCAAAATTCCCAAATCCCAAAATTCCCAAATCCCAAAATTCCCAAATCCCAAAATTCCCAAATCCCAAAATTCCCAAATCCCAAAATTCCCAAATCCCAAAATTCCCAAATCCCAAAATTCCCAAATCCCAAAATTCCCAAATCCCAAAATTCCCAAATCCCAAAATTCCCAAATCCCAAAATTCCCAAATCCCAAAATTCCCAAATCCCAAAATTCCCAAATCCCAAAATTCCCAAATCCCAAAATTCCCAAATCCCAAAATTCCCAAATCCCAAAATTCCCAAATCCCAAAATTCCCAAATCCCAAAATTCCCAAATCCCAAAATTCCCAAATCCCAAAATTCCCAAATCCCAAAATTCCCAAATCCCAAAATTCCCAAATCCCAAAATTCCCAAATCCCAAAATTCCCAAATCCCAAAATTCCCAAATCCCAAAATTCCCAAATCCCAAAATTCCCAAATCCCAAAATTCCCAAATCCCAAAATTCCCAAATCCCAAAATTCCCAAATCCCAAAATTCCCAAATCCCAAAATTCCCAAATCCCAAAATTCCCAAATCCCAAAATTCCCAAATCCCAAAATTCCCAAATCCCAAAATTCCCAAATCCCAAAATTCCCAAATCCCAAAATTCCCAAATCCCAAAATTCCCAAATCCCAAAATTCCCAAATCCCAAAATTCCCAAATCCCAAAATTCCCAAATCCCAAAATTCCCAAATCCCAAAATTCCCAACTCCCAAAATTCCCAAATCCCCAAAATTCCCAAAATCCCCAAATCTCCATATCCTCAAAATCCCCAAAATCCCCAAATCCCCAAATACACCAAACTACACTTCATTAAATTCCCCAAAAGACTCACTAATAATTTTTCTGCCCAGATTTCGTTGCTACGTCGGCAGAACTGCGAGCTCCAGAAAACCGTCGTCGAATTGAACGCAAAACCAAAGGATTCGGTAAGTTAACAATATACACTTGAATTTTCTATAACTGCAGTTCAATCTACATTTCAAATAGCACTCTAAGCTGGTATGGAAATAGTAGTTCTTTTTCAAATCCACCTTTGCATATTCAGAGCTCGGATAATCATGAAACTGTTTACGTGTTCGTGACTAGCTAATAACACGTTCTCGTTCGATTAGGAAAATATGACGATGTTAAAATGGAGCATCACTTTTAAATAAATTATTACCTGTGGTTATCTGTGATACGTATGGTTACAGTGATATTTTCTTATTCACTAAAATGACTGTAACTTTGAAGGAGAAATGAACCTCAAAGAAATCTATGTTTAACTGTTATTAAAATTATCAAAAACATTTCTTTTCTGATTATTATTCCATAGTTATTGGATTATTGTTCCATAGTTCAATGGTTATTTACAATGCAGTAATTTATGCAATTTTTTTTAAAAATAAATTTACAGAAACTTTAAATGAAGTTATAGAAAGAATATTTTAATTGTTATTCCATTATCTTCATTCTTTTAATTATTTTCTATAAATTGAAAATTCTGTATTTTCACGAAATAAAGTATTTCTGTGAAAAAGTTATGCAACGGATTATTTTGTAAACAATTATAACGAGTTGAAGTAAAATGAACATAGCAATGTTTATAATTTATTATAGTAAAAATTATAATCGTAATGTTTACATAATAAACGTTTCGTTATGATATTCTTTCAGTGTACATATTTATTGCATATCCCACATATTTAGTTTTATATCTTCTGTCTTATCTTTCTGCCTATGTTCACATATTTTCCTATTTCTATATTATTATTTATCTTATTTTTATTACATATAGTATGCTATGATTATTATTATAATAGTGCATAAGCACATCACTGTACAGCTTACTGATTGTTCAAACTATATGTCATATTTATATATGATTATTATAATAGTGCATAAGCGCCCAACAATACAACTTGCTGATAAATCAATTTTTTCAATTGCGTCGACACAACGAAGATGCATCTATGGAAGTGTTTAAATAATATTTCCATGAACTTTCTTCCAACGTGTATAATAAACAGCTCGCGATCGGTTCTCTTTCAGGGACTGCTCGTTGTATATGCTGAGTAGCAGCTGATGAAGCAGATACAAAACTGCTAAACGTTTCTTTCCTCCTCGCATCTGCTGCGTTTCTCGTGCTCTAACGCTTCCACGCGTTGCCGCTAATATACAACTCTTAAAACCTTGCTAAGTACATTGACTTACAAACGTTCGTCGCACTCCAAAATAATCTCGTATCTCCTGCATTAGCAAACGGAGCCTTTGCGGCTGTTGCCACCTTTATTTGCGCGCATTTATATGCGCCAACTACATATTAAGTCGAGTATGAAACTTCACATATGTCGAAATGCTTCAAACGCGACAAATTTCGGTGTTTAATCTGGTTAGGTTAGGTTTTGTTCAATTATTGGATTAGGATACACTAGATTACATTACAATAGTTGTAATGAAGTTAGGTTGCATTAGAATAATTTAAAGGAGGTTAGGTTACATTACGATTGTTCAAATAAAGTTAGGTTGCATTAGAATAATTTAAAGAAGATTAGGTTACATTAGGATTGTTCAAATGACGTTAGGTTACATTAGAATAATTTAAAGGAGGTTAGGGTATATTAGGAGAATTCAAATGAGGTTAGGTTACAATAGAATAATTTTAAGAAGGTTAGTTTACATTAGGATATTTCAAATGAGGTTAGGTTACATTAGAATAATTTTAAGAAGGTTAGTTTACATTAGGATATTTCAAATGAGGCTAGGTCACAGTAGAATAATTTTAAGAAGGTTAGATTACATTAGAATAGTTTAAATGAAGTTAGGTTACATTAGAATAATTTTAAGGAGGGTAGGTTACATTACAATGATTTGAATAAGGTTAGGTTTGATTAGAATAGTTTAAACAAGGCTAGGATACATTAGAATAATTTAAATGAAGTTAGGTTTGATTAGGATAATTTAAATGAAGTTAGGTTACATTAGAACAATTTGAATGAAGTTAGATTAAGTTAGAATAGTTTAAATGAAGTTTAGTTACATTAAAATAATTTGAATGAAGGTAGGTTTGATTAAAATAGTTTAAATGAAGTCAGGTTAGGTTACAATAGTTTAAATGAAGTTTGGTAACATTAAAATAATTTTAATGAAGGTAGGTTTGATTAGAATAGTTTAAATAAAGTCAGGTTACATTAGAACAATTTGAATGAAGTTAGTTTATGTCAGAATAGTTTAAATGAAGTTTAGTTATATTAGAGTAATTTGAACGAAGTTAGGTTTGATTAGAACAGTTTAAAAAAGTCTCAATATTTATTGTTTATATTAAAAGAGTCTCTAAGAGTTATTTTAAGAATATTTTTCCAACATCCTCTCCTCTTTGCATAAAATCCAAAATAACCTAAATATTTACATATCCCCATTTAAATAATGCACCCTGCGCACTGTTTGTAAATCTCCGAACGACCATTCGAACGGGATTTGAAAGTAAAGAAAATAAAAATTGCACGAGAATTTCGCGTGTTTTTTAGGCGGTTGTCGGTCGCGTACCTTTTCGTTCCGAGTTGACGAGCGAACAGAGTTCCCTGAACCCTGTAACAACCGCGTATGCAGAAACAAGGGCCGTACAAAACGGTGGACGTTCGTAAAACGAGGAACAAAAAATGATGGCAACAATAAGCGTGCCACGAGGATCGGTTGCGGTTGCACGATCCATAAACCTTAGGCGTAGGTACCCTACGTTCGCGAAACATTTACCCTGTTAACGTTCGACGTACGATAAGTCCATTGTTAGGTCATCGCAATAATAACCCGCGATCGGGTGTCGTTAAATTGCTTGCCACGGTGCGTTATTAAGTTTCCAAAGTGACGCAAGCAATTGGAACTGCTATTATACTTTGAACGAGCTTCTTTATTGCAAAACGGGTGAATACCGAAATTAATTTGGTGTTTTAATTGTGGATTTGGGTAGTTCGGAGTAGGTGAAACTATGACGTGTGACGCAAACAGTGGAAACTACTTCTTCTTTGTTGTAAAACGGGTGTACAGAGAAATTAATTTGGTGGTTCAATGTGGATTTGGGAGTAGGTGAAACTATGACGCACGGTGTGACGCAAGTAGTTGAAATTGCTATTATGCTAAGAATGAGCTTGTATTTCTCCTTTATTGTAAACGTGTGAATACAGAAATTAATTTAGCGCTTTAATCATGGATATTTGGGAGTCTGAGGGTGAAACTATAACACAGTTTTAGGGTAGGTATGATGGTGCGCTGAATTATTGGTCTACTAACCCACTCTTGGATTCTAATTCATCCAATTATGAATATACGCACATAACAACTTGTGCATTCATTTATAAAAATTCAGATTGATTCACTTTGGATAAACCTTCTGATAATGAAGACCAAGTAACCATTAAACCAGTAAACTCAGAAAAAACTCGTGAGCTAAAAAGAACGTGTGAACCGAAAACTTGTGAATCCTCGTGCGAATCGACGATACGATAAAGATTGTTAGTGAAGGAAATAGGTGAAAAGGCCACTTCGATATTGCACCGTACAGCGATAGAAACGTTCACTAGGAATGCAAGATAAGCTCGATAACTATAGCCTCGCACTTTATTTCATATCTTGGACCAACAAAGGATAGGTCTAACCTCTCCCCGTTGTCGCAATGTAACGTTCAAGGCTTAAGGATCCTCCCTTTTCCCTCTTTTCGCTTCATTTTCCGAATTCCTTCCGGCACAGACGACCTGGAATATCTAGTTTGCTTTTTGACTTATGGAGGGATCTTAGGTTCTGTAGCTCTAAATGATATTCTAAATTTCTACGAGTGTGATGTTTCAAATTTTCGTTTTAAATTTCTTAAGATACAAGTTTTTAAACTACTAAATTGAACAAACTGTTTAACTTCCAAGTTCTTTAATTTTTTTTATTTCTTAAATTTCAACGTCTCTAAATTTTCAAGTCCAGTTATTAAAATTGTCAAATTTTAGAATTTTAGATGAAACCGTAAGAACATCGGTTCTATTATTTCGCTATAAACATTTGTGATACGAAGAGATTTGAATTTTACCGCCAATTTAGAGCAGCATGGCGGAGCAATCTCCTAGCATTCACTCAAATCGATAATAAATATATATTATCCGATTAAAACTAACTGTATTACTAATCAATTCCAGATGTAGCTCATTTATTTCCGCTCTTTAATTATTACCAAGAATTATTCAAGATTAAAACCTTGTCCCACATTTCCACTCGTATATTCATACCTTCTACCCTACTAAATACACAAGTCTCTTAAAATGACAATTAGGGCATGGATTAGAAAGGAAAACAAAAGGTATACCTTCCACGGGTTTTATGTAAGGAACACGGCACATTTTCCTAGGAAAAAAATGTAAAAAAGGCTTGGAAAGAAACAAAAGCCGAAGAACTTTCCCTAACACCGAATACCATCCTCCTTTGTGGTCGCTGTTAAGAAACACGTGTGGCTTCGACGCATTGTGTCATTCACGAGCCTCTGCACCGGATGTAGCTGATGACCCCTGACACCATGGCTTTTAATACCTAATCAGGTGGCAAAGTGTCACCACATTTCCACCGCTGGATCGTTGAACGACCAGATAAAAATTCGTCGTTAATGAGTCACGTTTTGTGGATTTACCTTTGTGACAATTTCAAGAATACTGGAATACTTTGTACAATATCGCTACTAATTTGTTTATAGTACAGCTTGTAAATTAGAGACTGTAATTTGTAAAAAATTTAAAGTTGCAAAATTAATCGAATGACATTAGAAAAACTTATAATTTAAGACCATTACAAGTATCAAGTGTTACTGACCATATCAAGTGTTATTACTTGCTGTAAAAATTCTGTAGTAAATAAAATTGAGTTGCTAAAATAATAGTTAATGGTGATGTGATTAAAATGCACGTTTATTGATCGC